GGTTAAGAGCCTTCTGGCTTCTGCAGGTCTTGGACCACACAGCTGCACTTACATACATGCAGGCAAAACACTCATACAAATAAATAATTAAAAACCCCACAACATCCATTTGTTTACCTCCCTTTAGAACATCCTATTGTTTACCCAGTTTCCCTCCAAAATAGAAGGATTTATCAGGGAGGAGATTGCTATGCAAGAGCAGGCTGGGACTGCCATGCCCAGCTTGGGAAGTCCTTCCTGGTGCTAAAGACAGAACACCCTGTGCACACTGAGGTTTACCCCCAGCTCTTCAGTTTTTTTTGGGGGGTGGGTGGTTGCAGGATCTTGCTATGTAGCCCAGACTGGTCTCAAATTCGTGATCCTTCTGGCTGTCTCCTAAATTGGAACTATATACGTGCGCCACCATATTCAGTCAATATTAATCTTGCAAAAACTATCCTAGTCATCTTCTGTTAGAAAATTTTGCCAAGAAATGATATATTCATTTCTTATTTAAAAGTTCTTAAAGAATGACCAAAATGAAGCTGGCATTGTGGCTCACACCTAAAATCCCAGCACTTCAGAGGCTGAGATAGGAGGTCTGCCGCAAGTTGGAGGGTAGCCTGGGCTGCACAGTGAATTTGATCCCAGTCAGCCTGGACATAGGCTTTAAAAATATATATCAAAATGAGCTGAGCTGGTGTGGTGGCCTGGTTTATAATCCCAGCATTTAGGAGGTAAAGGCAGGAGGATCAGGAGTTCAAGGTTATTCTTGGCTACAGAGAAAGTCTCAGGCTAGACAGGGCTACATGAAACCCTGTCTCTTATGAAGATGATCAGGTATGTCATAAAAAGAGCCAGCAGTTTATCCAAAAGAACAACCACCAACCTCCAATCTGCCATTTCCTGGTGTCTGCTTACTTCACATCAGATGTTCAAATCATGATTTTGTCTATAAATTCACATCTTAGCTTTATGTAAGCATTGCACTCATTTTTCCTTTCCAGCATGGAAGCTAAAATATTTTTGTAAATGGAACAATCTAGGGGCTAGAGAGATGGCATAAAGTAAGAACACTGGCTGCTGGAACCAGGTTTGCGTTCAGTTCCCAGCACCCACATTTCAGTTAATAACTGTCTGTAACTCATTTCCAGGGATCCAACACCCTCTTCTGGTCTTCATGATCATTGCATGACATGGGTGCACTTATATGTAGGCAAAACATTCATGCTCATAAAATAAAAAATGATCTAAAATCTCTTCACCTTGGTTCTTCTACCTCATTTTCTTTGAAGATTTTTTTTTAATTTTTCATTTTTATCTAATACATATGAATGTTTTACCCCGCTGCAGGTATGTGTACCACATGTGTGTCTGGTACCTGAAGGGGTTAGACTCCCTGGAAATGGAGTTACAGCTGGTTGTTAGCCACCATGTGGGTGCTGGGAACTGAACCTGGGTCCTCTGCAAGAGCGGCTGGTGCTCTTAACTGCTGAGCCATCTCTCCAGCCCCAATTCTTTCTTTTTAAAACAGGTTATATCTACTTTATT